CAGGACCCCTTCATCAGGCATATGCACTTTGGTGCAATGAGAAAAGGAAAAAGTTTTTTTTGTTTTGTTTTGTTGAACGATGTGATAATTGAAAGTTTGTAATATTGAGATATTGAAACTAATAAAAACTTATAAAAAAAAAAAATTAACTGCTATAAAAGTGAGTTCATTTTAAGGATTTACTTAAACGTAAACTTATGTTCCTGTTTAGGAAATACTACAGATGTTTATTTATTTCAAAATTCTGTGCATGTGAGGGTTTTTTTTTTTTAATAATTATTCACATATGTATATATGGAGATCGATGTTTTCTTCTTTTGCAAAAAAATAATAAAGAGATTTCCTAAAAATAATTACTGTGTGCAATTCCTTCAGATTTTCCAAGGATAGCAATATACAGAATATAAAGCTTTAATTGTCTAAACGTTTTTTTTAAAGACGTTCCAGCTATGTTTACAACAGAAAACTCTGAAACCTTTGAGCTTTTATAGTTCACACTGGGAATATTGAAAATAAATGTATTAATGATTGCACAAGCCAAGATGGCCTTAGTAGTGAAGCATAGGGATCGCCAGGGCCATGAATAAAGGGGGCACTGCCAGTCCTCCTGTATGGGGCCCAGGTTAGGAGGGGGGCCCCAGCAGCTGGATGAATCAGATATGGGCAGAGAGGGTGATCGGCATGGTGGGAAGGAGATGGGGGAAGCCAGCAGCACTGTGGGGGCGGGGGCACACAGAGGAGCCTGGGCAGCAGGGGAAAACATATGGTGCACAGGGAGGGTGATGGATGCGGCAGGGGGGCAATTACTGGAACTGATCCCCTATATGGCTCTCTCTGCAGAAGCTGAAAGCTGGCTTCTTCTTCTTTCCCTCCAGCTGACTTTCAGCTGCTGCAGAGAGAGCCAGACAGGGGATCAGTTCCAGTAATTGCCCCCCTGCCGCACCCATCACCCCCATGCTTCCTGATTCCCCCATCTTCTTCCCACCAGCAGCTGCAAGCACACAATAGGATGTTTCAGGATGGAGAGTGGGGGAAGGGTCTGGTAAATATGTCACATTTATCAGCCCCTTCCTTTCCTGAATGAACACAAGGATTGATCAGTACCCATCACTCCCAGTGTTCATTCATAACTGAAGCATAGTAAACTGTTTTTTTTTTTTTGTGGGGGTGGTCCTGTTAGGTCCTTGGCTGTATGGGGCACCATGGTTACTATCAGCAGCCCTGGGGATCACCCTGGACTTTGGTAAGGTTTCCAAAGAAATCCCCTTTTTGGTGACAATGCTAATGCAGTATTATTTTTTTGGAAATCCCACCATTGCCTGACTTGGAGGATGCTTACCACCTTAAAGAAACTTCTTGTTGTTTGGAGTAATGCTTATATGTAAGGTAAAGGTTCTAGGTTCCTAGGATGTGCTGATGGAGGTTATTTTGGAGATCACCTGGAGGGTTCCTGGGTGACCATTTAACACAGCAATGATTTTGATGGCCACATACCTATTGTGATCACAAGGGCGTCTTCCAGAGTCTCATCTCCACAGTAGAAGAAAGTATTGTCCAAAACACATTGGGATTGAAGAGAACTGTACCCAATATGCCTTGGTCACATTTTGTGGCCTCTTGTTTGCTTTTATGATCTTTGTTTTTAGTAGGTTTCCAATAAAATACATTTTATATAATTGTATGTGTGGACATGTGGAATGCCTGAAAAGTCCCATCCAGTTCTAGAATGTTTTTGTTAGAAGCAGGGCTTTGTATCTCAGAGAATAGGTGAAGGAACTCCCCCTTTCTGAATCACCCCTTGTCTCTGCCCCCTACCCACCTCTGAGCACAGTCCCTTGGTTCCAACCCCTACTCATATCTCAGTACTACCCTTTTTTGAGAGTACAGAACCAACCCACCACCAACAATAGATCCCCTCAAGAGCAATAGACCCCTCCCCCAGGAACAATGGACCCCCTAAAAATACTACCCCAGGAACAAAGGACCCCCTAAAAATACTACCCCAGCAACAATGTATACACCCAGAAACAACAGATCTCCCAGCAACCATCATCAAGAGACCTCTCCCTCAACAGTAGAATCCTCCCAGCAACAATTGAACCCCCAGCAACTTAAGACCCCCCTAGCAAGCATGGATTCCCCACCAGCAACCATTGAACCCCCAGCAACATAAGACCCCCTAGCAACAATAGATTCCCCACCAGCAACAATAGATTATCCCCAGCAACAATAGACCCCATTCAAAAATAGATCCCCACTAGCGACAATAGATGCCCCAGCAGCCAGCATCAATACACCCTCCAGCACACCCCAGCACCCCTGCAACATGCAACAAAGTGCATGTTTGGGGCCCTGTTCCCGCACCTGTGAGACTGTCAAATTGGGGCCAGTGGCTGTGCCTGTACAGCCACTATGTCCCAATAGACATGAATGGGACTGCCTGCATGCGGATGTGCGGAACACCTACCTGTACAGATAGGTACATCTGAGTGAATAGGGCCATATAGAGAAAAACAAGAGATTTACTTAAATCCTGCTGCTACGGGGAAAAAAAAACTTATCTCATCCGACATGGAAACCCCCGACATCAAAACCCTGGCAACACCCCCCCACCCCAAGAAAGAAACTATCTCAGCCGACCTCGAAACCCACCCACCCCCCCCCGACCTCACCACCCCCAAAAAAGAACTATCTCAGTTGACCTCGAAACCCCCCCCCTCGACCTTACCACCCCTGCCCCAACCCCCCCACCCCAAAAAAACCCTATCTCAGCTGACCTCGAAACCCGCCTCCCGACCTCACCACCCCCACCCCACCCCCCCCACCAAAAAAAAAACTTATCTCATCCGACATGGAACCCCGCCCCCCTGACTTCAAAACCCTCGCCCAACCCCCTCAACCCCAAAAAAAAACCCCTATCTCAGCCGACCTCGCAACCCACCCCCTCGACCTTACCACCCCCGTCCTAACCCCCCACCCCAAAAAAAAACCTATCTCAGCCGACCTCGAAACCCGCCCCCCCGACCTCACCACCCCCGCCTCACCACCCACCAAAAAAAAAATTATCTCATCCGACATGGAAACCAGCCCCCCCGACTTCAAGACCCTGGCCCCACCTCCCCACCCCCCCAAAAAAAACTATCTCTGATGACCTCGAAACCCGCCCCCCCACCTCACAACCACCCCCCCCCACCCCCCCCACCCAAAAAAAAAAACTATCTTAGCTGACATTGAATCCCGGTCCCCCCCGACCTCACCATCCCTGCCCCATCCCCCACCCCAAAAAAAAATACTATCTCAGCCCAACATTAAAACTCGCCCCCCCCGACCTCACCACCCCCACCAAACAAAAACTAACTCATCTGACATGGAAACCCGCCCCCCCTGACTTCAAAAACCTTCGCCCCACCCCCCCACCCCAAGAAAAATAACTATTTCAGCCGACCTCGAAACCCGCCCCCCCGTTCTCACCACCCCTGCCCCATCCCCCCACCCCAAAAAAAAACCTATCTCAGCCGACCTCGAAATTAGAAATGATATTTTACACAATTGAGTGTTATTCTTCCTTCCTGACTCTACACGGCCCCCAATGTCCTCCCCTCCTGCACCTGATCACATGGCTTTGGGTGTCCTCTCCTCCTGCTCTCTAATCACAAAACTCCCCAGCGTCCTCTCCTCTGTTCACTGACCACACGGTACCTGGCATCCATGCCTCCTCCTCTTTGTCACACGATCCTTGGTGTGGTGTCCTCTATTTCTGCTCCCACTTGCTAATCACCCAACCCAACCCTACTCTTAGCCCTCAGTGCTTACAATCCTATCAGTTACTAACAGCTCTCAGTTGCTCAGTTTTCAGTACTCACAATGCTCCTAATTACTCAGTCGTCAGTACTCACAATGCTCCCAGTTACAACTCTCAGTACTCATAATGCTCCCAGTTGCTCGGTTTTCAGTACTCACAATGCTCCCAGTTACTTAGTTCTCAGTACTCATGATATCCCAGTTACTCTCGGTCCTCAACACTCACAATGCTTCCTGTTACTCAGTCTTCATCACTTACAATGCTCCCAGTTAACTACTCACAATGCTCCTAATTGTTCAGACCTCAGTACTCATAATGCCCCCAGTTACTGTTTTCAGTATTCACAATGCTCCCTGTTACTCACAGCCCTCAGTACTCACAATGTTCCTAGTTGCTCATTCCGGTACTCACAATGCTCCCAGTTACTTAGTCCTTATGATATCCCAGTTACTCTCAGTCCTTAGCACACACAATGCTCTCAATTACTCACTGCCCTGAGTACACACAATTTTCCTTACTATTCACAGCCCTCAGTACTCATAGTGTTCCCACTTACTCACTGCCCTCAGTACCCCCAAAGCTCCTGATTACTCATAACCTTCAGTATCCACAATGCTCCCCGTTACTCACAGCCCTAAGTACTCACAATGCTCCTAGTTACTCCCAGGTCTCAGTATTCACAGGCGCCCTCTCAGCCTCAGCTCTCACTCCTGCCACTCCTGATTCAAACACCGCCGGTCACTGCTGGGTTCACTACTCAGCTCATCAACTGCTGTCCAGTCGCACAGCTCTCACCTCTCAGCACATTGCATGGCTCTCCTGTACTCAGCACACTCCGACAGATCCAGCGTCAGCCCGCTCTGTCACATCCCATGTGAGCCAGTTACTTTCAGTGGTCGCAGTCATCTTTTCATCATTACTGTGTTATAGGAAAAATCTGTTATTTACTTTGTGTCTGGGAAAAAGAATTCGATGTTGACATATAACTACAAAGCAGGGGCGGACTGACAACTCATGGGGCCCCTGGGCAATAGGGGATCATGGGGCCCCTGTGTCCTTGCCCAAACTCAAAAAAGCCTATGAAAAAGGTACCAGGGGCATCTCATGGGGCCCCCTACTGACCCCGGGCCCTCGGGCAGTGCCCGAGTTTCCAAATGGTCAGTCCGCCCCTGCTACAAAGTGTGCGAAATGACATCACTGGGAGTCGTTAACCATTGGGGCTTTGTCTGGCGATATCTAGTGATTTGTAGAGGTTACAAAAAGCGCAAAGTACAGTAATCCATAGCACCCAATCAATAGACATATTTTAGTCATTTGACGTTCTTAAAACAAAATTGCTGAGTTTCTTCCAAAATGATTTCTGATGGTCTTGCTTCTGGTTTCGAGACTTGGAGTCTCTGTCCAGGAATGAGTCTGCAGAGAGCATCTTGATGTCATAGTTGGCACTGTCGGGGTATAGCTGCTATTGGTATTCCCCATGGAATGGTGAGATGTCAGAGTCTGGGATGTGGGTATGGTAAAATGGGATGAACAAAGCAGGAATCAGTATGATGATGTCATGATGAGTAATGCAATGTCACAGAAGTTTGATGTCATTGCAAGAAAATATCAAAATATCAAAGTCAGCATTTTAAGCACAAAGCAAACATTAATACATCAAAGTAAAAATGTTAATGTCAGTTATGGCATACTCACACAGACAGTATCAACATGTTGCAGGTACAATATAAAAAAAGAGAAGAAAAAAGTGCATGGTGCCTCTTAGAGCATCAGCCATTAACTCAACATTAACAACAATGAGGGAATATATGAAACTGGAGCAGACAAAATGATGACAACCCATTACATTTTTTTTTTTTTTAACAGAGAAAATATGAATAGACAGGTAAACATGTAAAATGAAGACAGGATCGCCACCTGCTGGCTGAAAATGTAAATATGAATAGGCAATGTTTTTATATTGATTGACTAAAAATGTTATGAAGGATAATGTGTCAGTGCTGAGCCAATCATCCGCAACCATCGTCGTCACAAGAGTATAGTCCATAGTCCCATGTAGGCACTTACCTTTAGTTTACACACTGCAGCTCCTCCTGCTCCCCGTAGCAGCAGGATTTAAGTAAATCCCTTGTTTTGCTCTATATGGCCTTATTCACTCAGATGTACCTACAGTCAGGTCCATAAATTTTGGGACATCGACACAATTCTAACATTTGTGGCTCTATACACCACCACAATGGATTTGAAATGAAACAAACAAGATGTGCTTTAACTGCAGACTGTCAGCTTTAATTTGAGGGTATTTACATCCAAATCAGGTGAACGGTGTAGGAATTACAAGAGTTTGCATATGTGCCTCCCACTTGTTAAGGGACCAAAAGTAATGGGACAATTGGCTTCTCAGCTGTTTCATGGCCAGGTGTGTGTGTTATTCCCTCATTATCCCAATTACAATGAGCAGATAAAAGGTCCAGAGTTCATTTCAAGTGTGCTATTTGCATTTGGAATCTGTTGGACCTGACTGTATCTGTACATGTAGGTGTTCCGCACATACGCATGCAGGCAGTCCCATTCACGTCTATTGGGACATAGTGGCTGTACAGGCACAGCCACTGGTCCCAATTTGACAGTCTTACAGGGCCCCAAACATGCACTTTGTGCACACACACTGAAGGTATGTAATGGCAAGGGGTGCTGGGGTGTGCTGGAGGGTCTATTGATGCTGGCTGCTGGGGCATCTATTGTAGCTGGTGGGGATCTATTTTTGAATGGGGTCTATTGTTGCTGGGGATAGTCTATTGTTGTTGGTGGGGAATCTATTGTTGCTAGGGGTCTTATGTTGCTGGGGGTTCAATTGTTGCTGTTGGGGAATCCATGGTTGCTAGGGGGGTCTTATGTTGCTGGGGGTTCAATTGTTGCTGGGAGGGATCTTCTGTTGAAGGAGAGGTCTCTTGATGATAGTTGCTGGGAGATCTGTTGCTGCTGGGTGGATACAGTGTTTCTGGGGTAGGATTTTATTAGGGAGTCCATTGTTCCTGGGGTAGTATTTTTAGGGGGTCCATTGTTCCTGGGGGAGGGGTCTATTGCTCTTGAGGGGATCTATTGTTGGTGGTGGGTTGGTTCTGTACTCTCTAAAAAGGGTAGTAATGAGATATGAGTAGGGGGTGGAACCAAGGGACTGTGCTCAGAGGTGGGTAGGGGGCAGAGACAAGGGGTGATTCCAGAAGTGGGAGTTCCTTCACCTATTCTCTGAGATACAAAGCCCTGCTTCTAAACAAAAACATTCTAGATTTGGATGGGACTTTTCAGGCATTCCACATGTCCACACATACAATTACATAAAATTTATTTTATTTGAAACCTACTAAAAACAAAGATAAAATCAAACATGAGGCTACAAATTGTGATCAAGGCATATTGGGTACAGTTCTCTTCAATCCCAATGTGTTTTGGACAATATTTTCTTCTACTGTGTGGAGATGAGACTCTGGAAGACGCCCTTGTGATCACAATAGGTATGTGGCCATCAAAATCATTGCTGTGTTAAGTGGTCACCCAGGAACCCTCCAGGTGAGCTCCAAAATAACCTCCATCAGCACAACGTTAGGAACCTAGAACCTTACATATAAGAATTACTTCAAGCAGCAAGAAGTTTCTTTAAGGTGGTAAGCATCCCCCGAGTCAGGCAATGGTGGGATTTCCAAGCACTAAAATAATACTGCATTAGCATTGTCACCAAAAATGGGATTTCTTTGAAATCTTCCAAAGTCCAGGGTGATCCCCAGGGTTTCTGATAGAAACCACGGGGCCCCATACAGCCAACCTAACAGGGCCACCCCCACAAACAAAAACAATAGTTTACTATGCTTCAATTATGAAGGAACACTGTGAGTGATTGGTTCTGATCACTACTTGTGTTCATTCAGGAAAGGAAGGGGCTGATAAAATGTGACATATTTAAAAGACCCTTATCCCCCACTCTCCATCCTGAAAGATCATATTGTGTGCTTTGCAGCTGCTGGTGTGGAAGAAGATGGGGGAATCAGGAAGCACAGGGTGATGGATGCGGCAGGGGGGGAATTACTGGAACAGAACCCTGTCTGGCTCTCTCTGCAGCAGCTGAAAGTCAGCTGGAGGGAAAGAAGAAGAAGCCAGCTTTCAGCTTCTGCAGAGAGAGCCATGACAGGGGATCAGTTCCAGTAATTGCCCCCCTGCATGCACCATCACCCTCCCTGTGCACCATATGTTTTCCCCTGCTGCCCAGGCCCCTCTGTGTGCCCCCCCCCCACAGTGCTGCTGGCTTCCCTCATCTGCTTCCCACCATGCGCTCACCCTCTCTGCCCACATCTGATTCATCCAGCTGCCGGGGCCCCCCTCCTAACCTGGGCCCCATACAGGAGGACTGGCAGTGCCCCTTTATTCATGCCCTGGCGATCCCTATGCTTCACTACTAGGCCATCTTGGCTTGTGCAATCATTTAATACATTTATTTGCAATATTCCCAGTGTGAACTATAAAAGCTCAAAGGTTTCAGAGGTTTCTGTTGTAAACATAGCTGGAACGTGTTTAAAAAAACGTTTAGGACAATTAAAGCTTTATATTCTGTATATTGCTATCCTTGGAAAATCTGAAGGAACTGCACACAGTAATTATTTTTTAAGAAATCTCTTTATTATTTTTTTGCAAAAGAAGTAAACATCGATCTCCATATATACATACTGTAAGTTCCTAATTCCTTGTGCACACTGCTGTTAAGCATTTTTATAAGCCCCGCCCAATTCTGCCTGTAGAATACAAAATGCATATCCCCTATGTCATAGGGATGAGGAGGAGTGTGGGTGGTGGTGGTGGGGGGCTCTGTATTCCTAACCCACTCCCTATTTTAGGAGGACAGCATTGTTTTCCAAAAGATACAAGAGAGAACATTGTCACCCTAGGACAGACAATGTGTTACTATCAGGATCCCTAGGTGAAAATGAAGGTTAAAAAAAGTTAAAAAGAAAATGAATGCAGTCACCATAAAGGGAGTTATACTAAAAAGTTCACAGTTCCAAAAAAAATCTGTGCCAGCTTCTCAGCGAGACTGAAGTAATCTCTGCCAATATGTAAAGGGAACAGCAGGAGGGCGCCATCTAAGTGCAGTATATAGCAAAATTACTTTATTAAAAATAACATGAAGTGGCAACTCAGAAGATTAAGAGCACGTCATCCGCCTAGTGTGGTCAGCTGTTGAGCCTCAGTGTGCTAACTGCGGAGTGGATGTCATGTTCTTATCCTTATGCACCTTGCGAGTTGCCACTTGTTTATTTTCCTTATACTGCACTTAGTTGGCGCCCTCTTCTGTTCCCTTTACATATTGCAGAGATTACTTCAGGCTCGTTGAGAAGCTGGCACAGATATTTTTGGAACATATCAACATTTTATTATAATCCTACACCCCTTCAGCACATATACGTGTATAAATTATGTGGTGGTAGCTCAGCTGAATCCCTACCTGCTCCATTCTCAATAATTCCTTGTAATGCAGTCACCATGTCTACAAACCAGACAGCTTCAACCCAAAACATAAATTACATTTTTTATTCTTTAGTTTAGATCCATTTTTAAAAACATTTAAATTAATTATCAAATAGTAGCAAATCATAAAAAAACAGACCTAAACATTTCTTCTCAAAGAAACAGAAATGTACTTTTTTTTACGTGATTTGCCAGTGTCATAAGCACTTTTTTACAGAAATATACCTGAGGATGACGTTTTCCTTCTGACTTTAGTACCTGTCTACATAAATCAGTGAATTAACAATATATAATGCTTGTCTGGCAATATATAAAATTAAATCTGTGAAGAATAAAAATGTGACTATTGGACTGCCCCCCCCCCCACATCTCTAACATTCTAATTGGCCAGTTAAAGCGGCTCATCACAGTGAATGGGTTCGTTAGGAGAGGGCTTGGCAGTGCTCCAAATTTCAACTGTTACCAGAAGGCTTTGGTCACCTCCAAGTATCACAGTATATGGAAGGGGCCTGAAAACTGCTGCAGCTATATGGCAGGCATCTAGCATTGGCAGGGCCAGGCCAATGGGTGGGCCCGCGAATAGGCAGACATTTTGGATGTCTTTAGCAAAGAAGGGAGAGTGCAGGAAAGGGCAGGACCTGCTGCTGAAGTAGGTTCAACTTTGGCACTTTTCGGTTTTGGGTGTGCTAATTTTGCTACTCTGAAGTATAGCTCACCGCTTATACGGTGG